TGATGAAGAACAATCTTGACGAATCTAAGCATTGGTAGTCTCACTAGATGTTAAGAAATCAGGTATGAAATCAAAATATTCCAGATCACTCATAAGGGAAAGCCGCGACAAAGCTAGCAAATGGTTGTATATACAAAAAGACAGTACAATGGATAGATAGATAGATATGGCCTAAGAAGTTCTGGCTAGGAGATTGGGTTTTAAGCGAGACCATTGTGACTCCTCCAATCTTTCCTGGGAACTTACTTAGTGGAAGGATTATCTATACAGTACTATTTTTGTATATGTGACAGTTTGTTATGAAACTGTTGAAGACTAGCAGGATGACGACACAAAGGAACAGTTGGGTTCCCTATGATCAAGGATCTGATGAAGTGGTAATTTCTCCAAAGAAGTTAGATTCAGTGACTGTAATTTCTCAGAGGGGAGAATTGATAAAGACCTTGATAATGGAAGAGAAATACAGCAAAGGGATAAAGATTGACATCCTATTTTGATTTAGATAGGTGTTGTGACAAGATGAGCTGTTGTCAAACATAAGCAAGGAATATGGAGAAATCTGGAGAATAGAAATTGCATGAGGGCACACTAAGATTGTGCAGGTGTACCTGTATGATCCAACGAAGTACTGTAATGAGACAATAGATACAAAGAGAAGAAGAGTTCCCAGATGAAGCTCAGAGCAGAGACTGTATGAAGGTTGTACAATAGGAAGTTTCTTGTGCTCTTGATGAAGGGAACAAGTGAGGACCTTTCCAATACATGCAAGGATGGAAAGAAGAGCTGTTGCATATGCAGCTAATTGAGGGGGTGTAAACGCCTGTGATAAAAGGCAACAGCCTATGATGAAAGGCAAAGACACCAAAAGGGAGTTGATGTGGGTGGAGTTGTCAAAAAGAAAAGCATAGAAGCTCCAAACATAAAAATCAAGATGGACAATTGCGAGGAGTGTACCGCAACTTTCTCTTTTTATATGATCAGTGGCAATGATCTCTCTCATAGTTTATATGGTAGAAAAGAATTTTTTGAGCCACTTTGAAACATCCCAGCTGAAGGAGGATGTGACCGTCTATGAAAGGTGAAGACACCTTAAAAAGAAGGTGTGAGGGCCATGAGATGAGCCCAAAATTAAATCGCCACATGACGACGAACAAAGACACCTCAGGAGAAAGTGTGAGGGTCGTGATAGGAGCCCCAATTTAGAACGTACCATAGTAGATGTGATGACTAGATATGAGTAGATAGGTGGATAGCCAGTGAAGTGGCTATGATGAGTATGGAGACAAATGCAAATTTGACTTCTATAGATATTGCCCCATGCTAAAGATCAATGAGCTAGAAGACATTTGTCTTGGATAATAAGTGGATTATTTATGGAGCATTAAGACGTGACTGCTAGAAATGAGCAAAGGGCATGCGCAGGTTTCTAGAATGGATCGAGGTGGTGAGCTCGGTAATGACATTGTAATACTTAGAGTATGAAGATAGATATGGATTAACCTTTAATGGGTTGCCTCTATGGTTAAAGGTGGAGAGCTACCTGGACTCTTGAGACTAAGAGCGGGAGACTCACGGAGAAGTAAGTGGTGGTTTCTAGGGTGGAACAGAGGGTAGACGTAACTCCTGGATGAGTAAACTCTTGGAAGAGTGGTGAATTTGTGATCATATTGAGATACTCAGATAATGATTGTTGCACTTGAGAATAGAAATTTCCGTTTGAGGGGGTGTTGTAGGCCTTGGTGTGAGGCTTGATAAATCATTCCGGACCGAGCATGGTCGATACGTTCGAAGGGGAATGTTGTGTCTCAGAGATAAGCGTTAACACTCTTCAGATATGATGTGGGAGACCATCTGGTTATAGTAATCTTTTTGTGTGAGCAAGGGTGTGCTTTAGTGACTCTGGTAATTAAAAGGTTTGGTGAGTACTTTTAAACTTAGCCACAGACGCTCTCAGAATGATAAACTTGGAAGAGCTATAGGATGCAAGCTTGTGTTGAAGAAGCAAGATGACAATTGCTTATATAAATGTCAAAGGAGGTAATTGTTAGGATTTACCATTAATGGGTAATAAATTGTGCAACCTACCCTAAGAAGTAGGGTTACCATTGTTAAAAGGCTACAATGATAGTTGCACCACCATTGATAAAAATGGTGCAACCTAATGTAGCCACTATTAGTGCCGCAAATCATGTCATAATTTATGGATCTTGTTTTACCATTGATGCCTATAAATAAAAATATTATTTGAGAGCAAAATAAGAGAGATAGTGTAGCAAAAAATGTGAGAAATATAGGAGAGAGTGGGCTCTCAAGGGTAGTTAGCAATGACTGTCATTGTAGCACTAAAAAGAAAGAAATAGAAAGAGATTGACAGTTGCTAAAGAATGGATGATTCTTTTTTTTTTTATTGTTGTAAATCTTGTACTCTTTTTATACAAGAAATGACTTCTTCCATAGATATAAGTGATTTGTCGAACCATGTTATATATTATATTATTATATTTGATCTTCTACGAAAAAATATCAATACATAACTGATGAGATTTCCTAACAATTTCTACATCATTGAACTCTGTTTATTCTGTTCTTACATTCAATAATTCTTCAGAGTCCCTTGATAGGGTTGGACGGGCCCCAATCGGGCGATCCTGTCAAATACCTAAAGCCGTCCATTAGTGGTAGCTTGAAAACCCAAGACAATTACGGTGCATCAGAATCATTAACGTTTAGAAGCACTAGTTAAAGGAAACAGGAGATCTCGCAAAAGTGAGTAGCTTAAATTTCCTTCTTTTTCCAGCATCTACGTGTCAAAAACAGAATACCATAAAACAATAATACCATCACGGGAAAGCAAGAGATTTGGCAAAAGCGAGGAGAATTTGCAATTCGTTCTGCACTGAATCTTTTCGATTAAGTCAATCGATTCCCGCGCCTGCATACAATGGACACGATCAGCTCTGTTAGCCGGGAGAATTCGACGAACCAAGATGCAGAGCCATGGTATTCAAATCCAGCTTTCATGACCACTCCAGGGGTTTAGTGCGTTAGCTTACTAGCTAGCTGAGAACTTTCTGGCATTCCGATTCTTACACTATCAGGAATCAAATCGAAAATCCATTTTTTTATGCAAGGCACGACATCATGGATGGTTCTTCTACTTCTATAGTTAAAAATAATATAAATTATATTATATAATTTTATTTAATAATTTTAAATTTTAAGTTGAGATGGTTTTTGATATAATATCAAAACTATAATAATTAAATGATTATAAATTTAAATTTTATTATTTTTATTTATTTAATAAAAATTCAATATAAAATAATATAAATTTGTATAAATTTTAAATGTATAGAATTTTCAGTTAAAGAATATATTAAAAAATAATATAAGTTATATATTAAAATCTTAAATTATTATGAGATAATTTGTTAACATGTATTTTAGATATCCACGTAATGTTGATTTAATGTTTTATGACTACATTGCCTGTGATCTCACTCCTCGAGGGTACCAGCCTTCCCTGAGATTTGAAAAGTTCGTTGTATATCCATCTCTCCTTACGGAATCGGATAATTAACCTATGTTTTTCATAATCCAGGAATCAAAGTATATATATGCTACAAGTATTGATGCTTTTATTTAAAAATATACAAAATATTGTATAAAAAAGAGCAACGATTCATACCGCGAATCATAAATAAGAGATTACAAAATTATTTTATGGTTAAAATTTTGAATATCCTTGCAACTAGAGTTAAAGTTAACATTTTGTATCATGCATGTGGCCTCTACCGAGCCAACACACCATTTTATTGATTGAAACAACACCATTTTCAAAAATATTATTTTAATATAATTATATAAAAATATACTTTAAAAAATAACGGTTACTGCAGCCCCAAATATTCCTAACTTTTAAGAAATTAAATTTGATTATTCTTTTCGTCAGTTAAAAGTTCGATTTTTCTAACTATTCAAGTTCAACTTCAAGTTTTGGATAGGATAAGGAATTCAACTTGAAACCTTCTTGCAAGTGGACGATAAATGAGTCGACGGTGGAGGAGGGGGAAGGTGTGAGACCCTCAACCTGACGACAACATGACATCACACTCGTGCCGACCAATGCCTTACGAAGCGAATTAAAGCTGTCGTTCTCCTATTACCTGTCTAGAATATCGAACGCCGCTAATTAACAAAATTAAAGCAGAAGCTGAATTTATTGTTCGCTGTGAAGAAAGTATTGGTTGTTGGAATAGTTTTTTATCGAGTTTTTTTCTTTTCACTGAAAAAACACGTTAATAACACCTTAATTTTTATTTACTTTTTACATTTTAAATAAGCATAACCAATATTTCTTTCACGTCCCCTGTTTTTCAGTGCAGTCATTTTCATATTTTTTTAACTCTTAAGAAAGCACAAAACTGGAATCCAAGCCATGTTTCTTGGGATATGTACTTTGCAACGGAGCGCATGTCTCATCGATCACCTTCTTAATAAAAATAACAATCATAGACTGAGACATTGATATATAAGAAAATTGAAATTTATATTCATTTATATACATTTATTCGCTTAAATATTCTTTCTTGGTGGCATAGATAGAAAAATTCATACCAGATTCAATTTCTTCTGCAGTCAGAAAGAGAAGAACAGCAATGATGAAACAAGTGACCTCATCAGTGATATGCACAAACCTGTGACATCAATGTAGCAGTGGCAGAATCCCCTTTCAATTTATTAATATTTTTTTTTTTTGCGTGTGTGCTTGTTTCCATCACTAACAAGTAGCGAACGAGCTCATAAAAGTTAAAAAGAATATTGAAAAGGGCGTCCTCAACTCCAAAGCCATCACCTTGACCATCCAGGTACATTGGATGAAAACTGTCCATGTAGAACTTCGTGGTCTACACGTGTGAATAAAAAGAAACCTTTAGATTATCCACGTGGGCACATGTTATTTACCTCCAAGTCCTCTTCCAAACCTAGCTTTTTCCCACCCGTATAAATGCTATTTCCAGGAAAACTTTAGCCATGCAAAAAAACACACAGATCATACCAGAAACAAAAACAAAAAATAACCAACATAACCGATCGATCATGGATGGGGACAGGACAAAGAGCAAGGATGGAGGAGAAGAGGTCAAGTATAGAGGTGTCCGGAAGAGGCCATGGGGTAAATTCGCGGCGGAGATACGAGATTCAACCAGGCACGGAGCGAGGGTGTGGCTGGGGACGTTTGACACGGCGGAGGAGGCAGCAAGAGCATATGACAAGGCAGCTTATGCAATGAGAGGGCACTTGGCCATTCTCAATTTTTCTAACGAGTATCCCAATATGGCCGGCCATGCAAGTGTTGGTTCCAGTAGTTCCACTCCTTATTTCTCTTCTGGTTATTCAGGTTCTTCTTCCTCTTCACCATCAATGCTGCGAGAAGTGTTTGAGTTCGAATGCTTGGATGATAAGTTGCTTGAGGAGATGCTTGAGCAAGAAGAGAAAAAGAGTAAGAAAAATTAAAAAAGTGATGCTGACATAAATATGTATTTTATCTGGCATGAGCAGTCTCTTTAGTACTGCATTTCTCTGTTCCCTGATAGAATCAGAAAATAAAATGTTGCCTGCGACTTGCTAATTATGAAGTAATGTTCAATATAGCCAGCTGTGAGACTGGAGATCATAGCATAAGACACCATCAAATATAAAGTATAAACATTGATCACGTTGATGATCAAATGATCAATATGAAATTACTGCAGGAACGTGAAGATTAAGAACAGACTCCTCGTCAAATTAATCTATTTACTTCTTTCCAATTTCCCAACGGGCTACTTACAAGCTTATGGGCGTAAGCGTTTATCGTTCCAACTTGATTACATTTGATTACTGGAATAAATATGCATATCAATATGTATCCGTTCAGAAGAGATTGCTAGAAAATTCTACCATTCTAGAAGGCATACACCGTCAAATAAAAAAACGTATTCTAGCTTCCCAAGGTTTTCCGGCAGCTCCTATTTTAGCCCGGATGAGTCGTGAGCTAAATTAAACTTAAGGCATAAGCCCATATTATAATTAGTAAAAGGCCCAAAATGCTCCAGCTAACTAAGTGTTAATTAGCCCACATAAAAAGCCTGAAAGAAAACCGAAGTTCGATACGCCCTCGCATTCACACCTTTGTCAGATCCTGGTTTCTGACACTTGCCAATCTCTAACATCCTAAAGGTTACTTCAAGTAGTAAGATAATAATTCTCAGCGGGAAATTCATGTTTATGTCCTGTCATCAGCGTCTTCTTGTTTTTTCTATTTTTGGGATCGTTCTGCTATCACGAATAATATATCCATAATCACAATAACATTTTAATATCAAATTATATTTAAAATAAAAATCAAAATAAAACTTAAATTTCAAGATAAAAAAAAATAACAATTACGAAATGATTTCAATGGTGCTAAAAATCATAAAGGGCAGCAATCCATGATGCAGTAGATAGCAAGATGATTATAATATAGGATAATAACAATAATAATTTTTAGAAAAAATTAATGTCACCATCATGAAAGTTGATGGTGATGGTGAAAAAAAAGTAATTGGGATAGTGGATGGGCGGTGATTTTTCGGTGATAATAATGTAAAAATAGTAATAGCAATAATAATATATTTATTTAAAAAATATATTATCATTATAGTTAATGATGATGTTTATAATGATTGACATAATAATAATGACATAAATAATTAATACAAAATAAATAGAATTAATAAATAATTCTTTTACAAAAAATAAGATTAAAATTAAAATAAAAGTAAATATTTTGGATCAATTGTCCCATCTTTGGCTGGATTTTGATTCCAACTAATGAGATCAATATTTTGAAAATATTCTTTTCATTACTCGGAGCATTTTTAATATTTTTATGCGTGTCTGGAATATTTTATGACTATTTCAATATGATAGTACGTAGTTTGTTTTAATTTTTACTGTAATAATATGTGCATATAAAATTTATGTCTTAGACATAATTCAAAGGGAGGCTCGGCAATTTCAGCAACCAGATTACTTGGTTCCTAAAAAAAAATAAAAATGAAATGGTAATTACCAACCCAAATTAAGACAGATGGACCCGTACCATCCTCCGTTCCAGAAATAGGATCATATTCAGCGACTTGCACTCCACTAGCAGGAGTTTTTTCCCACGTTTTAGCATAATGATAAAATTTATTTCTCAAACTAGCAAAAAAAAAAACAAAAAAAAATCATTCTAGCTTGGAAACGGTAGTCAACTATGTAGTACATCCGCACGCATTTGCTATATAACTATCCACATGTCACGTATTCAGTACATGCACATCCACTTACTCTATTAATTTGGCTAATTTGTAGATATTTTAGGATAATTTTTTTGATTTTTCCTAATTTAACTATAATTTAAGATTAATTAGATATAAAATTAGATAAATATATTTATACATCGACTTATCTGGTAATAAAAATTGATGAATTATATTATGTTGATTATGTTGATTTTAAGATTTAGTTTATAATTTTTTTAACTTTAGATTTTTTTAATGTTATTGGAATAATTTGCTATATTAACAAATTAACATCATATTTTATTGTCATTTTCATAAAACATGTATTTTATAGTGGGACACTATATTATTATACTCTTATCTTGATATATAAACATAACAAAATGATTCATAACATCAGCCTAAAAGTGTACTATGAGATGTTCACATAGCACTCTGCATAATTGAAAATAATTGAAATATAATTTGAATAATTATAAATTTTGTATTTCAAAATATAATAGATTAATATGTATGAATAAGTTTTTAACATGCAATCAAATTTCTATCTATATTTTATAAATGATAATATAATCTTTTTTAATATATTAAGAGGGGGTGTCTTAATACATGAGGATTGGAAAGTTGAGGCCGCACTTAGTGATGGATGGTATATATATGGTTTTGATGGTGCAAACTTATTAAATAATTAATTTATTTGATGTTTAACTATGTAATTTAATTAATTTGTAATTGAATTGATATTGTTAATTATACTGAATTATTTTGGTTTTGAAATTAATTTTTTTAATTATGAAATTACATGCAATGAAAATTGAATTATTATGTTGAATTGAGCTATAGTTGTTGTTTTTGAACTATGTTGTTAATATTGGAGTTGTATTTTAATAGGTCACGCATGTATGACCTGTACATAGCATATGTGATACATGCGTGAATATTATTTTCATGCTATAGTAGAAATTATTTTTATAACTAAGATGGTTAATTTGGGAAATAAGTTTTTGTAAGTATTAGTAGTAACAGGAGACCCCTCCACATTTACCACTCTGGATAGTAACATGACGTGAGAACTCGCTGGAGTCAGTCCACTGCCACGCATTGCCATTAATCACCTCAAACCCCTTTTTAGCACGAGAGCGAAGTTAATTAACTCATTTATACAACTCTTTGACCATAGCTTCGATGAGAGAGGCATGGGAAGGTACTCTCTCCCGTTTCTCTTTTAATTATTTTTTATTTAAAAATATATTACAATAATATATTTTTATATTTTTTAAAATTATTTTTAATCTTGATAAATAAAAATAATTTTAAATAAAAAATTAAAATTTTTAAATATATCGTGATGTTAAATAATATTTATATAGTATTATTTATTAAGAATAAAATAACATTTTTAGTTTAATATATATATATATATATACTTTATGTGTTTTTACATTAAGACTAAATATTCATAATAAACATATCATTCAAAATTTTAGTTTTTTTTTATGTTTCATTTTAATTATTTTAACACATGCAACATAATTTCAAAATATCTCTAAAGCTTTGGAATGAAAATTCGAAGAAAAGTCTCGAAATTTGATAAACTAAGAATGCAAGCAACATGATAATATTTGCCTATAAGTGTTAAGATCCTTCCCTGCTTTTCGTTCTCGAAATAAATTAAAAGATCCTTGGATGTTGTTTTTTGAACAATTCGACGTCTAATAAATGAAGCATTATATATCCTTTAATAGTATAGCTGCGGGACTTTCAATTTAAACTAAGCTCGATACGTACCCTGTCTGGTTATAAAACTTTGATTTAGCTGCAAATTATGTATTCTCTAATATCACTCCCAGATAGTTTTACTAAGTAAGATGCCATCACATCTTGATATCTTTTGCTTTGGCCTACAATTTCAAAAGAACAACTAGCTCTAAATTACAAGATGCGGAATGTTGTAAGAAGACTATTTTCGTTTGATAATGATCACCAAGATTCCATGTTTTTTTTAGCTTTTATTTGCTAAATATTATACTTGTAGTCTTGAGATTATATGTATTTTATAAGAACACCTTTTGAGATTAACATTTTCCTTTTCAAGCTGGAACTCGAACCTGAATCTTAATCTCTTCAACTATATACATGCAATTTCAACAAAATCTTTAGTGTATATTCCATTCTTTATGGCTTCAATATTTTGTATTGAGCTTGAACTTTTACACAAAGCTAATATCATCTTGAAACAAATCGTTGCATGATCCGTATATAATCAGCAATTTATCTTATCCTTTATTCTTATTTTCCGATTCTAGATAGCATTTGATATAAAGAAGAAGAGATTTGCTTTATTCGGATTCTGAATAAATCTACTAGATTTTTTACGTAGCAAAATACAAATGCGGCCAGGCCCCCTTGCTCTCTCTGCATCATACCCGCATCAATGTAAATTTCACCGTCTTGTTTCATTATAGAAACTAAGCTAAACTGTTGCAATGTCGCTTCGTCTCTTTGATTTCGCATTTCATGTATGAGCAAGATTAATTGATGTTTACCTGTCAAACTAACCAGCTGCCAATATACTATACAAGTTAATTTGGTCCCGGTTTGATAGGATTTCCCGAGATTTGTATGAACGAAATAACTTCTTCTGTTAAAAAAAAGGAAAGGAAATGTAGCTAAGGCTATAAGGTTAGAAACAACAATGCGATTAATTTAAATTACAATAAGTAGGCTTGTGACTAAACTGTCCATGCATGGGCGATGTCTTCCTTAGCTGAAGAAGAGCCAGGAGCTATGAGTGAGCAGTTTAACATATTTGTGAATCGAAGGGCAACGAACGTAGGATTACAAGTGAAGTTCAAAAATCTCACTAACTAATTCAGGTATGTCATTTGTCCCTAACAGTTGGATAACTCAGACATCCCTAGCAATCGTATCCGTCTTGCGTGAGTGAGAACTTGTAACATGAAAATCAAAGAGCTAGGTTCTCCTTGAAAAAATTCTGAAAAAGCTTAAAGCAAGAACAAAAAAGAAAGTTCACAGCATAGAAAGAACTAAAACTCAATCTTGCCGCCGCTTCTTCTTCTCCTCTTCTGATTCAAGAAGCTCCTCCAAAATCTTATCATCCAAGTACTCAAACTCGAAAACTTGCTTTCCTTGTCCGGTACTTGATGAGCATCCCCTCTCAAAACTCTGAGTTGTACCAACATTACTGCTAGATGCTGAAAATGATCGAGGACGTGCAGAAAACTCCGTCACTTGAGAGATATAATCACTAGGAAAGTTGAGGATTGCAAGATGACGTCTCAAGTTAAATGCAGCTTTATCATAAGCACGAGCTGCCTCTTCTGCCGTATCAAATGTCCCTAGCCATAACCTTCCCCCTTGCCTTGATGGGTCTCGTATCTCCGCTGCAAATTTTCCCCAAGGTCTCCTTCGAACACCCCGGTATCGAACCTCTCCTCTCCCTTTCTCCTCATGTCCCTTCCCTTTATTAGGCTCTTCCATGCCCTTGCTTGCTTTGTGTGCGTGTGGGTTACTGTACTACCTTCCTTCTTTCTTTTGCTTTCAATGTTGGTGGTATACGAGCCATATAATTTGCCGAATGCCTATATATGGATTTTGGAGTTGAGGTGCTGTCTGACGGCAGACGTTTGAATTTTCCAGGACGTGGACTGACCAGATCTATATTTAGAGTTTTAAGAATAAAAGAAAAATGAAAAACATAAAACACACCTCTCAGCTTCTAGGAAGGTTCTCTCATCAAGAATTCTATAAATTCGATTGTTCGACCTTTCCTCTGATGGAATTCTAAAAGTTTAATGAATCGCTTTCTACAGATAAGCATTTTTTTAATGTTGTTCTGATTCTTGACTTTAATCTGATTTGTTTGCAAGAATAATATTTCCTTGCACAGTGTACGGCAAAAAACAATAATATTTCCATGCACAGTGTACGACAAAAGTAGCACTGTCGTGTGTTTTATTATTAATTTATTTTTTTTTCCGATAGGTTATACTTTAGAAAATTAACTTCACCTGTCGCACAAGGTTCGCAACAATTATAGGGGTTTGTTTTTTTTTTTTTGTATTTGGGTTTGAACTTTATTATATATGTTTGTCATCTTTGTGGTGCCTTACTTGTTCACTGGGCTTGCAAGATATTCAGTGGGCCGTGAGGATTAGTCGTAGTGCGGGTAAACTGGCCCGAACACCCCACGTAAATCAAACAAAAAAAAACTAATATTAAAGGTGTACCGTAAGTTTTTAAATTTATTTTGAGAGGTTAATTTTATAAATTTTAAAGTTATTAAAAATTTATTTGGTTATTAATTTTAGGGTATGTAAGATTGGTTGAGTTGCTATAATTGCTCTAAATATCTATATTAATAAAAATATTATTGAATAAAAATTAAATAATTTGAAAGCTATTGAAAGGATACACAATTATATAAAATCTTTATAAAATAAATTTATTCAATATATAATAAAATAAAAATATTATTTTATAAAATAAAACTTAATAATAAATTTAATAGTTACACATGCATGTGTTAGATGAAGGACTTAAAAAGTATGAATATAATTTGTTTTAAAAAATCCTTGAAATATATTATGTCTGTAAGAATTTTTACGAGATTTTATAAACATGTGAAAGTTTAAGTCTATTTCATTTATAGGCTCATTACACAAATTAAACAAGCCCGAGTTGCTCTATATTAAGGGATAAATGTGTTCTTTCTAATGTGTTCAAGTTTTTCACAGACTTGCTTGCTTCCGCATGCTCTCCCATGGCAACATCATAATCATATATTCCATTACTTTTTGTGATTTCCTAAAAAGTCCTGCCACGTAAGGCTTATATTTAATTTTTTTTTTCCTAGCAGTGTCATTCATTTCTTTCTAATTAGAGTGACAGGTAAGTTGTGCTTGAGGTTATAATCTATTTTTAGATTATTTTTTAAATTTATTTTTTTCTTGTAAAGATAATAATAAAAAAACAATAATAAGAAGAAGACTTGATAATTTAATAAAAGCTAACTAAGGTTTTAAATATATATATATATATATATATATATAGAAGAATCAAGTTAGAGTTTTGGATAAAATTTGAAGCCTGGTCATACATTATTGTATCTAAAACTAGAAAGACAATGCAGATTTAAGGTTAAATTAAATGATTTTTGGATAGATCTGTATAAAACATAATTCCATGGATATAATAAGATTTCTAATAGGCCAGTTTGATTTAATCATGGTCCAAATTAAGAGTTTAATTATATCTAACAATTAATTTGGGTCCAATTAAAAAATTTAATTAGATGCAAGAACTTAATTATACTTTTAATTAGTTAAATTAATTTTATTAGAGATTTAATTGGTGAAAATTAAGATTAGGAGCCCAATTTAATCTTAATTGAGAAGATTGAAATTTTAGATAACCAAACTTAATTCTTACAAAGTCAATTTATTGAAGTCAGGGATAAAATTATAAGAAAAATAAAAGTTAGGGGTTGATTAGGGGGTTAAGTTAAAGAAATTCATAGTTAAGGATTTTTTTAAAAAAGCACAAAAAATTTAGGGACTTAATTCGGTTGAATACAGAGATGAAATTCAATGAATTAAAAGTTCAATGGTAAATTTACATAAACCAAAAACCATAATATGAAAAATGCTGAAATTTAGGGTTGATATTGAAGTTCGACAAGGATAAAATTGTAAAAAAATTGAAAGTCTAGAGTAAATTGGAGATGCAATTAAAAGAAATTAAAAGTTGAGACTGGAGAGACTAAATTGAATTTTAATCAAATCCTTTAATTAAAATCAATGAAGTCAAAATGATGTTATTTCAATTAAATGAAATGATGTGTTTTGACCACACCGTAACAAAAAAAATTACAAGATAGCAGGTCCATCGTTCAACGAGGTACACCTCACGATATCTGGTGTCTTGTAAGTCAAGGTTATTAGAGTGTTATTTAATGAGGGTTAAATATTTTTTATATAAATATTAATGAGATAAAAATATATTATATTTTTAATAGAATTGTTTTACACTTGGAATGCAAGGAAAGTATGATTTAAAATGTTGTTAAACCCATGGTAACTGAGCTATCCTTTAAATTGAACTCATGAGAGTCGAGTTTTTTTTTTAAGTTAAGTCCTTGGCATCGAGCTCTCTTTAAAGCTAAACTCTTGAGAGTTGTGTTTTGTTTTTATACCGAGTACAGAATATTAGACTCTTACTCAATATTAAATGCGAGAGTTGAATTTTTTTTTGGTTAAATACGTGTTGTCAAGCTCTTTTTTAGGTTAATGGTATGATAATAAACTTTTTTTTTTGAACTGAGTATCTATGATTGAATGTAAATATATTATCCAGTATTATGGGTTTTTTAACATTCAAAATTTTTTTTAGAATCATTAAATTTAATCTGATGAACTTCCTTGGAGTAACTCTGAGTTTTTGAACATTCAACAAATTTTTTAGAACCATTAAATTTAATCCGATGAACTTCCTTGGTACTCTTCGTAGCTTAGAAAACAACTACTATTCAGCTTCTCATCCGTGTCCTTAAAGGCAAGTACAATATTATTGTTTTGCTAGGTCGGCACCCATAACATCAGTAATCTCCTAGAATTGCACACACGCCTTATAACGAATTGGTGCAATGTCAAGAATTGCACACACGGTGAGATGCTTCTTCATCACCACATATTCAATTGGCCCAAGACATCCTACAGATGAGGAATCTTTAAACATGTAAGTGTCAACAAAAGCTTTATAATTTATATATTCGACATTGTAATCTAAAAGAATAAATCTATCCCCTCATGGTTTGTTTTATATGAAACCAAATCTGAACATTCCCTTGTAATGATTTGTGACAACCATGAGAATGATCTTCCATTTAATTTGATCTCCACCACATGTTTCTTCTCCTTCTATGCCGATCTCTCATCTCAAACTCTTTCACTTATATGTTTTGATATTTTAAAAATATTTTTTAAAAATTAAAATTTTTATTTATTTTAAATTAATATATTTTTTATTTTAAAATTATTTTAATGTATTTATATCAAAAATAATTTTTAAAATTAAAAAAATATATTTTAATACATATCCGAATAAAAAATACTTTAAAAAATCACAATAACTACACTCCCAATCAGTTACAAAATCATAAGTAAGCCAATCTATGAGTTCTAAGTGCTCAAATCTCCATTAAAATAAAATATAATCCTAGGATAAGTAATTGTATACTTAAGTGCTAACAGCTTATAAAAAAATTTAACAGTTAAAGAACTCCAATAAAAAAATTAATAGCAAAAATCATGTAATATGTGTTCCACGTCAATGAAAATACATCGGGAGCTAAATTTGTTTCTTAAGAAAATGGGTTAATGATGAGTGCTTTTAGAGAAAGAAGGATAGAACAGGAAGCTCATGGGAATAACATCGTGAATAAATAAGAGATTAATTTTTCAGAAAATAAAGAGATGCTTTTTTATATAAATTTAATTATTTAGGGAATATTTAATAATTATAAGTTAGATTTGGATTTACTGTATCGATAAGAATGACAATAAACAAAAAGACAAACAAGATTGCAATATTTCTATGACTGAAATGAGATTATAAGGAGATCATACCGCATATTATTGTTCCATGCCAATATTTTATTTATTACAGAGAGACTGACGACCTCTGGGCTACTGAAAGGTCTATTTTTATAAATACACAAACCATTAATTTCTAGTAGTGAAGGGAAATAAAAGAGCTAGGGACTAAATTTGCCATGAAAAAAAACTTGGGTGGTTGCAAGGTTAATAAGCATAGAGGAGCGCGGTGTGTTTTATTTGAAAAAATATCAAAATAATATTATTTTTTATTTTTTAAATAGTATTAATGTAAAAAAATAATTAATAAATTTTTAAACAAAAAATAATTTTAAAAATTACTATATGAAAAAAAAAAAATTCATACGTCTATTTTGCTGAACCCATTCTTTGTGAGGGTTAGTATTGGGCCCATTTGATCTTCAACATCAACTCATGCTTCATTTAAAATGTTCAGGAGAGTCGACTGGTGCGGGACGAAAAGAATTTGTCATGGGACTTCCTTGATTATTTAAAATGTTACCTTTATCGAAAAGATTTTCCATATTAATTTTGAGATTTAAGGAAAATTATATTAATTAAGCAAGGGCTTTACCAGGTAATTAGTGATGGTCTTAGGATCTTTACTTTATATTATTGCTTTCAATGGTAGGTATTGTCAGGGCTTTAATTTTCTATTTAAATTTTTATAATGACCTCATGGTTGAAGACCTTAACCAAAAAAAATTAGACCTTAAAAGAAACTACTGACTGGCAATAGGATTGGTGCCCGTGGTTGGGATATTAAGGACTTAAATCCCTTTCTTATTCATAATTACTAATTTTAAATGTAATATTGAAATTAAAATGGCATTCCTAATATTCCTTGTGGCGTTCCAATTTATTCAAGTCTTGTAAATCTTATTCATGATATAAAAATGATATCATTAATGATTAATAAATTAATTAATATCCATGTATTTTTTCTTCTTTTTTTAAGAGATCTTGAATTCAAACCACTTTTTAACATTTTAACATGTA